TAGGACAGTTTCAATAACTAACACACTGCATACATTCTTCTTAGTGGTTAATTGCTGTACCAGATGTGGACTTGGGATCCTATTTACAAACACCATTAGAACAAATCATTATATTCATTAAGAGAATGTAACTATATATCTATCCCATCCACTTTGAATACACAGATACAAAATGGATATTCATCTGTATACTCCTTTTTTTCTAAGTTCTGTTAATAGAATTGTTTTATTATAAGTATTTCAGGAGGTGCATGTGTTCATTAGCTTTACTTAATATTATACCCATTAACATATATAATTATGAATAGTCTAAAAACTATTATTAACAGTTTTTAGGCTTATATTATTTTAATTTTAGTTGTTTGATGTTCTGGGGACAGGGTCATACTATATAGCTCAGGCTGACCTTGAACTCACTATGTAGCCTGGAATACTTTCATACAAATGATAATCTTTCAGCTTTGACCTCCTAAATGCTAGGATTACAGTCATGTGCCATCATTCTAAGCCTATAGACTCATAGAATTTTTTATTTTTTAGAAAATTATTTTTGTCTCAGTCACCTGTGGTCAGAGAATGTTTTGTGATGATGTCTGCACATTCTAATCTAGTAGGCAAGTTTTATGAGTTACCATGAGCTTGAAAGCACTACATTATCTTCACTTTTAGATCCTGTGGCTTGGGGAAACTAATAAATAAACAAATGGGTTTCTGCCTCTTCTTCATGCTAGAACCTATCACCTTGCTTTTGTCAGTACTGGAAGTCTTAGAGACCAAGGACCTGTCTTGTTCTAGCAAGCTGTTTCCCATCTGATTTTTAGCACATGGACGCTGCTCAAAATGTGGGCAAGGCATTCAGAATTGCCTCAGGCAGCTCCAGGAACTATGGGTCTCACATGCATGACTCTGTGGAGCACTGGTTGTTTGCCTGCAGACCCCATTATCCAGTGCTTTGTTGAGCTCTTTTTCAGCACTATGTACTTATCTACCCTTCTACATACTGCTCTATCTGCTATAATGGAACAGAAACAATACTTACAGCTGCTTGTTCCATGCCATACACCCAGGGTATAGTTTCGAGCTAGAACAACCCTCTCATTCTGCCCCACCCTATTACCATTACTTTCTTGACTTAAGACAGATGTTTATTAGCTGCCAGTAAAAACACTGTTTCAAAGTCCAGAGTCCTTCTGCCCCTGGTGCTTACAGTCTGAGGTTGTGTCAGGGAGCCTCTAAGGGGAAGAGTGCAATTTGTGTCAACTCCTGCTGAGCCACTCCTTCCGCATGGCTCCTGCACCTTCCCCGACTGCTGCCTGATCGCTTCTCTCAGCCATCCATCCTTCCCTCCCATCATCTCTCTGTGGCATGAACCTGATCCAGCAGAAGCATCCATGGCTCTTCTGCTCACCTTGCTTCTCAGCTTCATCAAGCTGGGGTCAGGTAAGTTATCCAGGCCGGACTGCCCTTGGTCCACATCTTCTTGAAAAACAGTTTGATTCTTTTAGCTGCACTGATTAAGGCACAATGGGATGAGGATGTGTTTGTTGTTGGCATCCTCCCTGCTTCTCAAAAGTCTTGGGCTGTGTCTACCAGTGCCAGGGCTGTGGAGGTATGGAGTGACATGAAGGACTCAGGCATTGCGTAAAATTCTAATAGCAGCCCTGAAAAAGTGGGAGCAGGCAGCTCAATGGAGGGAATGGTAGTAAGAAAGGGTCTCACTGCATTTCTTCAGATAATTGAATCAAATGATTGTCCAGATGAGCTGTGGGAGTTTAGGCAGGAGTAGTCTTTATTAGTGCATCCAGGTTTCTGACTTGCCTGCCAGCCTTGTGACTTACTAAACAGTCTTTAAAAATGTCTGTGGGTTCCTTGCAATGAGTGACAGCAACCTACTTGGGCAGATAAATTACTTCTGAGAGTTGTAGAATTTCTTGTTTGTGCCTTATAGATGATTGCTTATTTGCTATTCAAGCTCCTTTCTTTCCAGATTGTTGCATGGGCTTATATCACCAGAAAGGTATATTTGGAGTTGGTGTATTTATTTAGCTTTTTTATCTTTTCCTGGTATCACTGCCGAAGCAAGACTGTTTGCTCTGTTTTTTGAGCAGAGATCCCTGAGGGAAAGAATTTGGCTTCACTAACATATTGCAAACTGACAAGTACATAGCCTACTTTGATCTTCACCTTAGATGAAACTACCCTCTTCAGTGAATCACATCTCTGTAGGATCTTGGATGAGCAGGTCACTTATTTCCTGCTTTCTTATGAAGGTCTAGAAAAATCACCTATTCACAAGTTTAGAACTTACGTCTTTATGGTACCTCAAGAATGTCTACAAGTATGGCCTGTTATAGTCCCAACAAGTACAATCTGTTCTGCCTTTTGCTGGAATTCAAAAATTGCTCCCAAGTTTGCTAGAGAATTGCTTCATAGTAAAAGAATAGTAACTGTGAGACAAAAACTTGTGGTTGAACATTTGACCTTTGAACTTACACATCCAAGCAGCAATAAAGAAGCTCTCACTAGTGTTCTCTTTGACTTGAGTTATGACTGTAGATTGAGAGTAAGATTTTCCAGAGAAGAAAGTTAAAACAGAAACCAAAGGAATTGAATTAAAAGTGCTTACCCATGAATCCATGTTCACCCAGGGTTTCTTTCAGGAGACAGATGTGTCCATGGATTACACATTACAAGTTGGCCCATGCTTCTTCTGTCCTCTTTACCAGAGTAGGGGTTAAAATTTGCCTGGTCTAGGCCCTTTCTAGGAGTGGGGACAGTCAACCCTCTAGTCCCATGAATCAGACACATTGTTTGCCTGACACAGAGTAGAGCCCAGGCAGTGGCTTGTACAGTCTTATGCCAAGTGATCCATCTTTTTACAGTTCTTCATTGTCCCTGGCTTTTCTCTTGGATGACTTGGTTGTGCTTGAAGCATTGCCAATTACAACAGGCATGATTTTGTCCTGTCTTTCCTTCTTGACTATTCTATTTTCATCCTCATCTAGAACGTGATTGTTGAACACAGGAAAGGCTGTGTCCAACATCTGGATCATAGGGTCCTGAGGTCCCATCTGCAAATCTACTAGTCTTTTAAAAATACTGAGTTTTTAGGGTTCTAGTGTCTGGTAAAAACCTATGGGGCAGATATATACTATCCTGAGAGACAGGTAGGTGTTTAAAGCAGAATCATCAAAGACACCTTAGTTTTTCCTTTGTAAGTATCTTCAAGTACTATAGTTTTTGAACCTTTATAGAGATAAAGAACCATAAAAACTTGAACATAAGGGAGTTTTATAGTACTTTTCTTCTGCTTGGCAAGAAAGATCTAACCAAAGAATTCAGACTTTTTAAAAAAAAATACGAGATTGAGAAGAAGCCTAAAATGGTGGAGCAGTTAGTGCCAGCAGATCAGCTTCTCCAGATCAAAGTGTCTGGAGCCTGGAAAATAATAGCTTGGAGAGGAACTGAAGTGAATGGAAGTTACCCAGGAACCATGAAGGAACTGACCAAGAAGAAGAAAATAAGATTAAATTATATAGAAGAAATAGATCACAGCACAGAGGAGAGACCACACAGTGCTGCTGACAGCAGCTGGCTAGCCACTAGCTAGGAAACAAAGTGAAGCCAACAATGTTTTACTACTCACTGAGAACCAACGAACTACGCTGGGACTGAAGGAATCATTTGCAGTTGGAATCAGCAAGGAAAATGTGGGACTCTGCTTACAGAGTGGCCCTCTGCAATAAACAGTTGGTAAATGACCTTAGTACAAGTGCTCGTAGTTGCCAGCATAGAATAAGAGCTGGCCAGGAAGACCTTAGAAGATAGGGCTGAGTGTTTGCACCTGGGTCCCAGGGCAGCCCTTTGGCTGCTTCACTGTGCCAAGTTCCCAGAGCAGATGAAGGAAAGAAAATCAGGGAGACAGCCAGCAGTTGACTAAGAGACTGGGCAGAGTCTTGCTGAGAGGCATGGGCTGGTGAATGCAGACAAGGCTCCTGGTCAGAGATCAGGATCAGCCTGGGTTAGAGGACTGAAAGTTCCCATGGGCACCATGTTCTCACTGTAAGCAGATCTCTGGACTCAGCACTATTCTGGAGGCAGATGCCACCTTAGACTTTGAGCATGAACGGATCACATACTGGCTTCAGCTCTGCTGTGCTTCTTACCCTAGGCTGAGGAAAAGAGCTATGTGTCCAACACAATAGAAAAGTTTATTTCATTAATCTTTGTTTAATTGTATTTTTTAATTTTTAAAATTTTTAATATTTTTATTCTTTGCTGTTTTCCCCCTTTTTTGTCCCCCATGATTTTATTCCCATTCTTTCACCCTTTTTTTTTCATTATAAGCATGTCTGTGTATGTGTGCTTCTCTTCTTCTTGCCTTTTATTTCCCACTTTATAAAAGATAAAGCAATTCTCCCTTGTCCCTCTACATTCTACTACTTTGGTTCATATCTCATTACCTGACTCTTTTCTCCTGTCTTATTCATTCTCAATTATTCTTTTTATTTCCTCTCTCCCTTTTCATTTCTCTTTTAGCTTTTGCTCTAATATTTATGTCAGGCATAGAATCCTTTCCCATTTCCATTTCTCACTACCAATTTTTGTACCCAATTTTCTTTTATAGCTTTCTAAATAGAAAACATAATCATTAAGACACTTAGTTCTTCTTTTTCCTCCTTCCCATACCACAGAGCAGAAGACCTTACTCTTCTTCTTGTTTTCTTCTTTTCCTTTCTCTAACATTACCTGGTCCCCTATTCACTGGGCTTTAGATAACTGATTCTCTAACATTACTGTTGAATGCTGTTTTCAACATGAAAGAAGACACAACCATTGCATTTACTGTATATTAACTGCAGCTTAAGACTTGAGTTGTTAAGATGCTTACACTACAACTGTGGATTTCTTCTCTAGGATAAAGGGAAACAAAAAGAAGTGTTTCCTTGGGTATCTATCAGGGATGTTATTTCTCAACTATCCCCGACAGATGCCACTGTAACAGATTAGATTGCTACTGCTGTAGCAAATCTTATTATGTAGGAAGAATCCTGACCCATTGGTCAATTTTGTGCCAGTGAACCTGTCTGCTGAATTCTTCATCACTTGAGAGTATCCACCACAAAAATGTGGACTGGCTCAGACTCTGCAAGAATGTTTGCAACCTGGCAGAAAGAAGTCCAGAGTCTGAGTTAGCTTTAGTATTGCACCAGAGGATCAGAAGAGTTATCAGGGCCTGAGCACACAAACTCTCGGGCTACTTGGGAATCATATGTATGCCTCATTGGAATATTTCATCTTTTCCCATCAGACAACTTATAGGTTTATTTTTTAACATTTCTTGATTTGTTTAGTAATGTTGGGTTATGTTCTTTTATGGTTTCTTGTTTTTATCAGGTTGTTACTCTTGTGTGTTTATTCTTTCATTGTCTCTGCTTTAATAGGTGTTTAGATTTTCCCCTTGCATTAGCTCTGTCTGGTTACTTGCCATAATACCCATGAGACAATATTGTTGTCACTCTCATAGTCACTCCTATCTTCTGTAGTATTATTACTTTATCCTCCCCACACTAAGCCTTTAGTTCTTCCATATGTCACATAACTTGTGGTCCTCCCTATTAGCAAGTTTTGAAAACCACATAGCTTCCATAAATCACACAATAAAGTTCCTTTCTCACATATCTTGCCCTTGCCTCCCCAAATGTCTTCTGAAAATTCTCAATACTAACCCTTCAACTCAACTAAAAGTGGTACAATAAAATCAATTTTTACTTCTCAGCTGCTACTATTTCCCCCAAAGACCTTCCTCTTTGTGTCTAACACACTAAGTGTCTATCTCCCACTGTCCCCACCCCACCTCATCTACTTCATTGTAGAACAACCATGAGGAATAAATGGTCATAGTGTGCATTCAGAATAAAGAGGGGAAGTATAACTGTAAGCACTATCTCAAGAAGTGCTGTAAGATTGAATCTATAGATACCATTGTAAAAAGTAATTCTTTTGGCAAAATATAGGGACAGAGTCAAAATCACTTAAAGAACAGAAGTAGTAAATACTAGCATTGAATGTACAAAGGTGAAAATTATTGATTAGGCATCAACTTCCTACTAAAAATCCATTTATAAGCCACATGTGCTCCTCGCATCTCTAGTGTCAAGCCTGCATTAAGTGCCTCCCAAAAGAGGAGATAAAAAAGGAGTGCATATACAATTAAAAATATATGTTCATAAATAAATAAACAGATACACATAGGACAATGGGGGAGCAAGCAAATAGAAGCTCTCCAACCCCTTTCCCAAATCTCCCAAGGCAGGGAAAGCTGGTCACAAAGGGAAAAGTAAACAAATATCAGGTAATATGAATCTTCCACAAATGAAAACTGATTGGAAGAAATAAAGAAAATAGATGAGTGCAAAGAACAAAAACTTCACAGCAAT